AGTGGGTTGCATCAGGGTAATAATGGCTCAGGTAGTAGCATGCATCAAAGTACTAGCAAAGGAATAATTTATAAAGCGCTAGCAGTTCTAGATATTATGCAATGTCTAATAGGATTCTCTAAAAGAGGGTGCTGCCATGACACTTGCGATGTAGAGGTAGTAGTGGTACAATTCTCCATTCATTGGTATTCCATTAGCAGGGTCACCTCCTCCTGCGTTGACTCCATTCCGCAGTCCTTGTCGTCGTCCATGTTCTCTTGGTCCGATCGTCAGCTACTCCGCGAAGCGACACGCAAGGCAAGAGAGCACTCCACACTCGAAAAGACGACAATACGCAGGAAAAATCCAATAACACCAGTGAGGCAATGAGGGATACACGGCTTAGCCCTCTCGGCGGTTGTCCGATTTCCTCGGGCCAAAGAATCACAAGTGGTGGTTTGCTAAGCACAAGCTTAACTCATGGCCAAGCCAATATGGCTTTAGGATACATGGTTTAAGCCAAAGCTTATCCATAGCAACACCACGGCTCACGTCCTTCGATCCGGGCGTCATGGAAAGGACGGGAATCGGGGGACGGGCCCAATGAAGAAAGAACGACGGGGTTCGGCTCTTATAGTCTTATCCCGCAAGTCAGAATTGGACACGAGTAGCATACAAGAACGATTGACACTATTGTGACTTGGCTCCAACGTACTTCGGCTCGTCCGCTATGGTAGAAAGCGGTAGCGCAAAGAGATTGGACATCAACGGTTCCCTTCGATCCACATGACTCAATAATGTCAGGAGCCGAGAAGAGAGTCGTTCAACATGACAAAAGATGCGGGGGTTAGCTAGGCACATCCATGTCATGTTCTCAGACACATCTTCGGGAAAGATGGTCTTAGATGGCCGATCGGGTCGACACGCATGGGTTCGAGGTATGACATAGACCATAGCTTCGCTAACCCAAAGGGAATAGTCCGGTCTTTGATCCAATCGTCATGGGCAAGACGGAATCGAACAGAGCGGGCTAACGGTGCAACAAGAGCAAGAACAACAAGGGACAAGGTCTTCTTCTTCCAACACTCGCGCCACGACGAAAGACGGGGCATTGGAAGGAAGCGACAAACACCAAGTGCGCAAACCACTCGTAGGGTACCCGACTTAGGTGCACTGGCACTAAGACATCTCTAGGGTTCTTAGCGGTGCGGTTGTCATCGCAAGAACCACAGAAATGCTATGGTCCAAATGGGTACAACCATACAAGAGCTTAAGCACTAAAGAGAGAAACATGAGATTCACATTCATTTGATCCACTTGCCATAGCAACAACGAGAATCGAATGAATGAAATCAAAAGGGCAATAAACACCAATCTAGCAAAAGGCTCAATCCACATCTTTACTGGATCGATGGGGATTGAGAACCAAAGAGAGAGAAGAATGGAATCTATACTTCTTTTGACCAACTTGTCATGGAACGGACGAAGGTTGGAGAGAAGGGGTACAGTCCCACGACCCAAACCAACTCATAGGGCATCACGACCGTGCAACTAAATGGCACAATGCTATTCCCTCGGTTCGCAGCAGTGCGGTTGTCATCGCTTAGGTCCGAAGGAATGCTATGGTCAAGGTGGTGCAATCATATAAGGTGGCTAGGATAAACACAAAGAGGTAGAGCCCGATGGTCATGACGAGAGGACTTGCGGCCATGAGCTTATCCTACACGAGTTGACATCCGTCTTCTACAATCATCATATCTCGACTCGTCCACTAAGTTAGGCCACAAAGGGCTCATTGTGTGCGGGTGATATCCGCACCAATGTTCAGTCCACAATGGCCAGGTCCTAGGGCTGAATCGGATTACTAATATTTGTAGTACGTCGGAGACAACTAAAAGCGAGGGAGCAAGTTATGCTCGCCATTATGGCCACGGTGGGGGCGAACCCACTACCGAAATGGTCGAACGAGGTACGATCCCTCGACCGTCTTGAAGGCATGGTCCTTAGGCAAACAAGCACAACATAAGAACAAGAATCCCGACAACCCAACATAAAAGCTAAGACACGACCACACGAATGGAGTAGCACATATCCATAGCGAGAAAGGTAGATAGATAGACCTGCATAAGGGCATGGTGCAGACAGATGTAGATAGATCAAGATCATGTATTGTAAGTGGACGAACGAATATAAGAGTGAGCAGGAAGGGCTTTCGTCGGTGTCGGGAATGGCGTTTGACTAGGATTCGACTTCACGGCAAAGATGTGGAAGCCCAAGGGCTGCTGTAACTTGTCCCGAAGGGCTATGGCTGCCTCTGGCCAGCTGAGGCCAGCTTCGGCCTGCTGTGGCTAGCTGTGGCTTGCTGTAGCTCGCTGTGGCTTGCTATGGCTAGCTGCAGCGTGCTATAGGTGGCCAAGGGCTGGCTGTTGATGGCCGGGCGTGGCAGCAGGTGGCCAGAGGGTGGCTGCTGCTGTAGGTCACAGCTGGTGAGGTGGTCGGAGAGGTCACAGAGGTGGTCGGAGAGATCACTGAAGTGGTCGGAGAGATCACCGTCGTGGTCGGAAGGCTGGCCGAATGTGGTCGGAGAGATCGCGGAGATGGTCGGAGAGATCACCGTCGTGGTTGGAAGGCTGGCCGAGGTGGTCGGAGAGATCGCGGAGATGGTCGGAGTGGTCGCCGACGTGGTCGGAGAGATCGCGGAGATGGTCGGAGTGGTTGCCGACGTGGTCGGAGAGATCACCGAAGTCCCCAACGCTGGCGCGGTCTCTTCTTCGGCATGACGTCAGCATGGCGTCGCCAAAGCTAATCCGCGGCTGACAGGTGGGCCTCGGCACTGGTCACTGATAGGTGGCCCCAGTCAATGGTCAACGGGGCTGGGCCCAATATGGGCTTTCGATGGGCCGGGCTGGTCCGGGCCGGCCCGGACATGTGTCGGGCAGGTAGGCTATCCACGTGGTGCTGTTGGGCTCTTGATGGGCCAGGTCTGGACTGTGCACGTGGGAGCGGCTCACGGTGGACCGGCAGGCGCTGGTCCATGGACCGCGCACTGGGTCCGTGGTGGACCGTGTCCAGTCCCCTTTTTCCCCTCACTGGTGCATGTGGATCAGGCTCACGTTGCTGCATCACTTTGGGGCTTTGGTCTATGGCGAGCGCGGCGGCGAGAGATGAATGGGGGCTAAACAGCTGCCTCGACCGCGGCACGCGTCTCATGGGCGACCGACTTTGGCTTCCAGGCTTCGACGGTGCGGCAACTCAGCAAGGCAGGGTCTAGGGTTGGGGCTGCTCGTGACGCGCGCGTCCGCGGCCAGGCGGAGGTGCGCGATGACTGCGAGGCGGTGGCCAGGAGCTGTGAACGACGAGGCGGGTGGCAAGGCAAAAGGCGTGGCCTTGACCGTGATCCCTGGGCGACGGCGACAGGGCAACGTGCTCGTGCCGGTGGCGGGGCAGGTGGACTGCAAAGCAGCGGCCTAGCCACTACCGTGCTGCGCGTGTGCGCTGTGGGTTTGGCGTTCCGTGTTCTTCCGCCGGCGAGGCGAGGTCTGGGGGTTCCTGGCGCTGAGCAGGACGACGGGGCTCAAGGGCGCGGCGGGCAGAGCAGAGCCGAGTACCGCGGCGCGTGCGGAGGCGCCGGGTCACGGGCGCGTGCAAGGCTATGCCCGCATCTACATGCTTCACATATTGCAGAAATTTTTTTAAAAAGCTCGTATTTTTGGCTTCTCCAAAAACCCGGGTTGTTACAACAATTGTCACCACAAGTAAATCTTGTGAAAGTTGTATAGTGTTTTTGATGAGTATGGGTTTAGCATGGCTAGTGTCTTGGTTTTGTGTTTGTATATACGGTGACTTACTCTTAAGGTGTTGTGACCTTTTGATCAAATATTTTAAATGATATGTTTTTAGAATAATTTTCATTTTGTTAAATTCTATGTCATGAGATTCTACGTATACCCATAGCAACACATGCGCACTTAACTAGGTAAAATATTATCTTAACCGCATGAAAGAAATGGATATCGGAGATTTCTTGCCGATATAAAATATTATTTTAGCCGTATCACGGAAAGGTCTATATAGTAGAGTTTGTGAGCCTGCGGTGCCGTGCTCTTAGTGACTGTTAATTTTACAAACTTTGCTTTTTGGATTAAATGTCAGTTTAATGTCTTACAGTATTGTTACCTTATCGTACGATCTATATATTTTTAGTATAAAAATTTAGTTGTTCCGTAACAACACACGGGCACGCTACCTAGTTCAAACAATAAAAATAATATTCATGTGGAAAAAAGAGGAGGGAAGAGACGAAAAGCACCAGGTCGTTCGCTTAGGATAACAAAACAATTTTTTTTATTTGATTGGCATGCCCTTAGACTTATATAGAAAACCCACCACTACGCATGCCCTTAGACTTATATAGAAAGAATGGTCTTATGTTGATAAGGTTGTTTTCTTTAAAATTCAGAGTTTTTTTTTATTCTTGATATTGTATAAATTTTTACTGTACACTAATGCTCGCGCAGGGAAGACAAAGGTAGCCAAGGAACCAAACGTGCCCGCGTGGTACCAGGGAGGATGAAAGATTTGCACTCGCATAGTCACCAAAAAAAAAAAGATTTGCAATCGCATAAAAAACAGAGGGGAGTGTGACAGAGTGTGAGAAAAGGAAAACCAAGGGAGAGGCGCGTGAAGTTGTTGGGGTAAAAAACCGGAGGGGGAAACTTGTCGTTGGTCAACATCACGAAATTCAAATCTTCCACGTAAAATAGGGAACAGAGGGAGTATTGTTGTTTAATCACTGGATCCAGAAAACCCATTTGCAGCATGTAAGGCACTCTGAAGTCTGAAGACGAACTACCAAACTGTAATAATCCAACTGTACATAGATCACCAACCACTGTTATATGTCTATCTAAATAACTATAGTAGCTAATTTTCCAAACCCATTAGTGTAAAACTGTAAATGCTATACAATATACATATATACACCCGTTGCTGTGATTCGTGTCACTCTGGCAAAATTTCTTTTAGTGGAAGGAGGACAAGATGTTATTATGGAGTGGGTCGGACAAGTGTTCAACCAGGTTCTGTACAGGGCCCTTGCCAGTCACAGCCGCCTGGATGTAAAATCCTAACCATGCTACCATCGCCAGGCGACCGTTCTTGATTTCTTTCACCTTGAGATCCTCAAATGCCACGGGATCCTTGGACAGGCCCAAGGGATCAAAAAGTGCTCCTCCTGGGTAGTTTATGTCACCAGGAAGATATATTCCCAATGGTTCTAGTGCGTCGATCCCACAGTACCTCGCATATTCAGGTCCAACCTGACAAATCAGGTCAAGATAATCTTATTGAGTGCAATACTTAATTATTTGAGACAAGGAATAACAAGGGAATCATGCAGCAATGGAATATTCTTAAAGGTTGAAGGTATCTTGGTAAAGTGAATGTCTATGTTTCCAAAGTGTTTGCAAGCATTTAAAAAAAAAAAATGCATGCTACTCCCTTTGTTTTACTATGGTTGCCTAACCAAGGAAGTATGAGTGCCAAGAAAAAATAACTGTACGATGACTATCCATACCATACCTCTATTTTATAACATATTCAGCCACTTCTCATCTTTCAGAGCACTTAATTAGGAGTATGAAGTAGAAATATTGCAATAACTATTACTGATGATGAACACTGTCGGACATACTGTTCGCCTAAACGGCCGTTTAGCCTGTTTAATCACCGTGTAAACACTACACAGTGGTACACCGTTTCCGTTTAATCATCCGTCTAGCCCGTTTAATTGGCCGTTTAGCCCGTTTAATGGACTGTTTAGCCGAATAATGGCTAAGCGGTAGGTGACCGACTGTTTACCGTTTAGCGTTTAGGAAATGGACAATCAGAGTGAAATGGAGGGAGTTTCTTACAAGGTCAATGAATTTCCATGGAGCGGTTCTTTATGTTTTCAAATTGTTTAGACATTAAGCAAAAAAAGGAATCACTCATGTATGGAGGGGGGGATTAGAAAGACAGTATTACCATCAAGAGGGCTTGGCAGATAGCAATTACAATGACACCTTGACCACCAGCAATTCGGAATCCAGGAATCCCAAGGTAATCAAGGGTATCACCCTGTAGAATTGAGTCAACAATTAAAAGGAAAAATAGCAGGCGAACATGTCGATCTTGAGAATATATTCTTTATAAATATAAAAAATAGTATAGTTTTCGTTACAAATTTTCTGTACATTACAGATGCAGTGGAGCTGGAGTACATGTCATCTTTACAAAATTTTACGGTCCACTCAGTAACATTTTGAAGATATAAGAAAATAAAATGTTGTTTTAACAGTTTTGCTACGTATTTTCCTTTGCTCTGTATTCCAGATGTGATAAATTTTTATCTTCAAATCTGTCTTTTCACTTTCCATAAAAAAATTGTAAATTTGATTTTCATGCCAGTTCTAGGTGCCACTGTAAAACAACACAGCAAAAAGATAGTGCATCAACTACAAATAAAATCCTGCTTTTCATAGTAGAGCATGCATGTGTATCCATCGGCTGTTACTGTTCCATCTCCCAGTACAAGTAAGATGGCTGATATGCCAGCATTTGGAGATTTTAGTTTTGCCAGGATGTGCCACCATGCAGTGCATGGAGGATTAGAGGGCAACAGGTCATGCTAGGTTATTTTCCAGCTCTGGAATTTGCAGAAATGCAGATGATTCATCAGAGATAAATGAAAACTATCTTTCAAATGCTGAACATCTATTTGCCTAGCAAATAGAACAGATCGATCATGCAAAAGTAAATGACAAAGAGAACCCTATCTCTTATGATTGTAACATGCCAGATTTAGTCTTAAAAAATTGCAGGTGTGTACAATTCCATTCTAGGAATTATCAATTTGTTCTACAAAAATTTGAAATTGACAAACATGAACACTGGAATTGTACCTGAAGTTTTGCATAACCAACTTTCCACCAGACAGGCTCAACAAAATGCACTAACCCAAAAAGATCTAATAGCTCAGGAATAACAACACCGAGAGCAGCAAGCATGGCCCACCGACAATGTAAGATCTCGAAGCTGCAAGGTAATATTGTTGGACAGAAGTCAGAACTAGGAAAGTAGAGAGAAAAGCAAAGCACTTACAAAGCTAGTACAAATGAAGAAACTCTACATCACAATTTCAGAAACATGATTGATTTTATGAAGCTGTGAAAAGCAGTAATCATTGTTGGTCAGAACCTGGAAAATATGAATGGTGCAGAGAAATCAAAGGGATTAACAAGCTCCAATGGAAAAAGGTTCACATCATGATTTCAGAAGAAAAAGTAGCCCTTAAGGACTGCCAAATACTCAATCGTTTCGGGATAGGGGCAAGCACAACAATATATTGCCTGTAAGTTAAACAACGACGACAACATGCAGGTACTGAAAAAGATGGTATAGTTCTGCCAATTGATGTAAGGAATAGTTTACTTTGGTATTAGGAGCACCCAATGACTACCTGAAGAAGATAAACAAACTATTGTTCCACTGCGGCTTAAGAAAATAAGACAGTATAGTTAACTGAAGGAAAGGAACAACGGTGACATACTTGAAGTAGTTTGCGAAAGCAACGGGATCCCTGCCCAGACCTGCAATATCGAACCCATAATCTCCAGGGTACTCTCCGGTCAAATGCTCAGGGTAGTCGTAAGGGACGGGACCAAGCCACCGCGGCCGATCTCCGCCGTACCAAAAGCTGCAATCCTTGCCACTCAGCTACAGCTCAGACAAATCAAACGCTGTTTTCCCCTTCTAATGAAGCAAATAGGACGGACTGCACCTGTTGTTACGGGCGCCGCGCGCAGCAGCGCGGAGAGCGGCGGCCTCGGCAGCTGCGGCGGCCTTCCTGTCCTCGAGGCGGCGGCGGAGGCGGGCGCCCAGGGGGCTGTTGGCGAGGGCCTTGACGGCGGTGAAGGGGATGGCGGAGAACACCAACACGCCCGCCAGCTCCTGCCATGACGCCCGCACTGGCGTGGGACACCGCCGCCGCCGCCCCTGCAGGGGGGGTGCGCTGGGCGGCGCGCCGGAGCGGAGCAGGAGGAGAGACGGTGGCGGCAGCATTGAGCGCGAGTCGGGGCCCACTTGTCAGTGTCAGGAGGAAAATGCTCCAGCCGAACCGAACCGCTCGAGGAGAGTGTGGAAGGAAGAGGACGGGCAGCGCCACCGCCACGTGGCGGGAAGATGGTCACGAACATTTCTCCGTGCTCTAGAGATTTTTATTTTATTTTAAACACATTTTTTAAATTATTTTAAAAACTGACACTGTTTATTTTTTTTTTCAAAACTAACACTTTTTGCCACACCTATTTCTCTGGGGCGGCGAAACGCCTGTGCCGCGTGCATGCATGGTGACGCGGCGAGGCTGCTAACATGGCAGTGACCAGGGCCGCTGACCAATGACGTGGTCGAATCTGTCGCGCTGCGGATCTAGGCGCGACACTGACGCGCGGGCGCGGTAAGCCTCTGTTCATTTTTAAAAGAAATGCCGTTGTTCATTTTCAATTTTCCACCCAAGCCGCATGGACATGAACACATGGGTAGAGGTAGGTCCGGAGAACTGATGGGTTGGACTTGGGACAAGACGGGACGGACTTGCTCCCCAGACTTGTCCAGTTGATGTTTCAGTAATAATGTCAGGGGAGCTGTTGAGCTTGTGGCCCCGTTAATTGATCTAAATCTTGACTGAAACTGGCTGGTTGTTGTGAGAAAGAAACGCTATAACGGCTAAAATTGCCTGGTTGATATGAGGAGGACAAGCCAGCTGGTCTGGTACCAGCGAACGCGCCCATGACGTCTGAATCCGATTGCCATTCCGCAGCACCTGCCAGCGAATGCACCTTGGCGCGTGTTTAGTTGGTTGAAATTTGAGAATTTGGCTACTGTAGTATTTTTGTTTTTATTTGGTAAATAATGTTCAATCATGAGCTAATTAGGCTCAAAACGTTCGTCTCGTAATTTCCAACCAAATTGTGCAATTAGTTTTTTTTTCGTCTATATTTAATGTTTCATGCACGTATCACAAGATTTGATGTGATGGCTACTAGCACTTTTTTAAAATTTAAGGTGAAAACTAAACACGCGCTTGGAGTCTTAGGAGTCACACACACGACTCACGAGTCATGCCAGCATGCGTCCCAAAAGAAAAAGAAAAAAAAATCGGTGGTTTTCAATCGGCCTCCCGTTAAGCAGCATTTAGTCATCGAATGAATTGCCCGTCAGTGTCCGATCTCAGCGCCCCCAGATTAAGTGGAAACGAGAAATGAACTGAGCAGTAGCTGCTCTGCTAGTGGCATTGCCAATGGCTTCCATCTTAATGCTGACGGGCAATTCACTGCAAAGGACCGTCTGATCGGGCGTTGAAACCTCACCGTCACCGCCTCACCGCAACAACTGGTGCGCCCGTGAGCGCAGGCATCCCTGCATGCACGGCGTAGGAGCTGCTGTGCTGCCGTGATCCGAGGACACAATTGGCAATTCCGTTTAAGGCCGCGTTTAGTTCGCGGCCGAATGGGCATTTGCACAGTGTTTGATGTGACGATAAACACGGTAGCAATTTCGTTTGTATTTGTGAATTATTGTCTAAACTATTGATTAATTAAGCTTAAAAGATTCGTCTCGTAAAGTTCAACTAAACTGTGCAATTGATTTTTGATTTCATCTATATTTAATACTCTTTACATGTACCATAAATTTAATGTGATAGAAAATCTTTTTTTACGTAGTGTCAAAGTTAGGAATTTGAAAACTAAGGGTAACTGTTCTTTCGTGTGCCCATCAATCAATTCGCATCGCAGGCGCAGGCGAGGATGGCAGAGCGCGGAGGCAGAGGCAGAGGCAGGTTAACGAAAAAGGCGGTCTGGACACTGTTCACCGAGGAGGCGAGGACCCCGAAACGGTTGACGCTGATATTAACGTTGATTCGTTACGGGAGAAAATTACCATAATTTCGCCAATACGGCCGGTAAGTTCAACCGAACCAAACAAGGAGACCCCCCAATCCATCGCCAGCGCGGGGGCCGTATGCCGACGAGGGCCACGAGACGAGAGTCCACTGTCCACTGCACTGGGGCTGGAGCCTGGAGGGGACAGAAAGATCGCTGTGGCCCGAGAATCCAAGCCGCAGATAGGAATCCCGTAAGATATTCTCACCAATCCACAGCGGCCAGCGGGCGGCCAGCCACACTGGGGCTGTTCGGCTTAAACTGCAGGTTTTGGCTGGAGCAGGCGAGTGGCCAGCTGATTGCATTTCGCTGCCCCCGTGAGAGGAAGACTAACGGCCTGTTTAGTTGTAAAAAAAAAACATTGAATCTTGCGGCACATACATGGAGTACTAAATATAGACGAAAAAAAATTAATTGCACAGTTAGATGAGAAATCACGAGACGAAACTTTCAAACCTAATTAGTCTATAATTAGACACTAATTGCTAAATACAAACGAAAGTACTACAATAGCCAAAACCTAAAATTTTTTGCATCTAAACATGCCCTAAATATTACAGTCTCTGGTCGGCTGGCAGTACGGATATTTATAGCTCATTTAAGCTAGCAGTGAGAGCATCTCCGAGAGGATCTTCCAAAAAATTTTTACTATTTGACCATTTTTCCAAACAAAATTTACATTTAGCTGAGTGGGAGACTTAAACTTATCTTTAAATCTTGAGGTCGACGCCATAAGTCCTGGCGCCGAGGTAACATGTCTCGGCACCACATATCTTGATGTCGAGGTGCCTGACCGTGCACTACAGAGAATTTTAGATGGTGTTAACGTGACCGGTACCATAACGTCGAGCTCGGCGCCGCACATCTTGACGCCCATATATCTTGACGCCGACCTGTGCACGCACCCGCGCGATGGGATGGGTGCGGGAGACAGGCGGGCTGCGGACTGCGGCGTGCGGCTGCTGCACGCGCCCCCCTAACTTGGACGCGCTGGCTTTCAGCTGTTTGGCGCCGCGCCGCGAGGCTGAGCGCTACGTGACGTGACGGAGGTGAGTGCAGTGCAGTGCGCGTAGTGCAGTGTTGACCGGGCTCCCGTCTCCGAGACGAGGCATGCAGCGCACTGCGCGTCGTGGGTCTGGTTCTCACATCTCCCGTCAGACCGTCCGCAAAGCGTGACAAGAAAGGAGGCGCCTTAGCGCAATGAAATCGACAGCAGCAGCAGGCGCCTCCTCCGCCTCTCCTGTCGCCACCGACGGCGGCTGGCTGTGACTAATTTATCTAAGCCCCTAGAATAATCTATCTAAGCACTACTACTAATTGTAATTGCAGTAGTTTGAAATATCAAGGTTGGATCCTTATATTTCTGGCTTTGCTAATGATTTCATTTACTCAAGGTTGATGTGAACAGGGCCCGACTATAAGTCCTGTCTATTGCAGACGTGATGGAAAAGTTGACGTGGAATACTACGCCATTAATGTGGTTGTTCCACAGAAGTTGCTTTACAAATCTAACAAACTGAGATCAGTACGACTCGGGCCTCGTTTAGATTACAAGTTTTTTTACTCTCTCCGTCACATCAAATCTTTAGACACATGTATAGAATATTAAATGTAAATAAAAAAATAATTAATTACACAGTTTGATTGTAAATTACGAGATAAATCTTTTAAACCTAGTTAGACTATGATTAAACAATAATTATCAAATACAAAGTGCTGAATACTGATTTCTAACCGTGAACTAATCAAGGCCTTGCTTCATCCTATCTTTTGTTAACGATGGGACGAGGCGTGGGCGACGGAGCGACGAGGCGGGACGGCGGCTCAGACACTTGAAAGTTGATTGACTGGGGTGGGCAGCGATGGGACGAGGCGGGACGGCGTGCGGGGCTCAGGCACTTGAAAGTTGGGCTACGTTGAATTTGGCACTACGTAAAAGAAGATTTTTTATCACATCAAACTTACGGTATATGTATGAAGTACTAAATATTGTTGACGAAATCAAAAATTAATTGCACAGTCTTAGTTGTACTTGGCGAGACGAATATTTTAAGCTTAATTAGTCAACGGTGAAACAATTATTAAAAAATAAAAAACAAAACGCTACCGTAGCTACAGTATAGCAGGAAATCCGGCGACGCAAATTCGGTGGGCAACTAAACATGGCCTTGATTGACTGGCTGTTGACTGCCTCGTCCCATCCCATCGCTGCCCACTCTGTCGGCCACGCCTCTGCGCGCCACTGTAGCACTGACCACGCCACCGCACGCGTCTGACTGCGCCACGGACCGCCAGGGAGTCTCCCAATTTTAACGAGATCGGAAAAAACTCATCTCAACAACTAGCAAATCCACATCCTAATCTTTTGTCACTTTAAAAAAATAACCCAGCCCCAATTTTCAGATGCTAACAGGAATTAGACGCCTAGTTCTACACAAGAACGCTGTAAGAACCGACCATAAATAAGGATACACAAGTCACGCGTAATTTAGTTAGAGTTACCTATCATGGCTCCCACGGGGAAATAGGCACAATAACCTCGCACAAATCATCGATCAGAGCTAGAAACAATCACCACCCTTCGCTCAACGATCACCGCTGTAATAAGAGAATTTGCAACCAACACGATCACAAGTGCCACTAAATGCGATGTAAATGCACTCCCAACTCACTAGACGATATATCAAGGAGTTACTTTTGTAATGGAAATTATAAATAGAGATCTTGTTAGTTCAGATAACCATTAGTGTTTGGCACTTAATTGGCATATTTGTGCCTTGTTGAGCTATATATTAATATTTTAGTTTATGCATTAAATTAATGTCTTGAATATTCCGTAAAAGATCAAATAATTCCAAGATGCAAGAAAGAAATTATTTATTGTGTAATTTAATATTTTGGCCAGTTACACGCTCCACATCAGGACTTCATAGTTTGCTGAAATAAATAAAAGTAGCTTCAACTTTAGAACTATTTAGAATTATTACATTGCAGCCACGCTGGAGCATTCTGTAAGAGCAGCAAGCAGTCTTGGCATCGGAGGAATATCAAGGTCCTGTAGACCCTCAAGAACTCGAACTACTTCACCCATTGTTGGCCGGTCGGACTCATTGTCCTGGATACACCAGCATGCTACTTTGCAAACCCTCTCAGCCTCCTCCAAGCTGAAGTCTCCAAGTAAATTTGGATCCACCAAGCTCTGCACATCTCCCTCATGAAGCTGGCCCATGGCACGCACAGGGAAATAAGAAACATGGTCCATGCTGGTAGTGTTGGATACAACAGATGCATTCCTTCTTCCTGATATGATTTCCATCAGTACCATGCCAAAGCTATAAACATCAACTTTTGACGTGATAGGAACCCCGCTGAGCCACTCTGGGGCAAGATACCCCATAGTTCCTTTAAATGTAGTTAGAACCCGGCTAAAATCCCTGCCTACGACCGACGCCAACCCAAAGTCTGCAATTTTAGGTACAAAGGATTCATCGAGAAGTATGTTTTCTGGCTTGATGTCACAGTGTATGATGCATTCGCGACAACTCTGATGGAGGTAGGACAATCCTCTAGCAACCCCAATAGCTATATGATGTCTGGTGCTCCAGTCTAGGACAGCCGCAGCATCATTCCTTTGGAAGAGATGGGAATCAAGAGAACCATTGCACATATGTTCGTACACAAGCAGCCTCTTATCACCTTGACAGCAGAAACCAACCAATTTGACCAGATTGATGTGTTGGATGAGTCCAAGTGCACTCACCTCTGCCCTGAATTGCTTCTCTCCCTGGCGGACACCGTCAAGCCTTTTCACCGCTACGGTAGAGAGGCCACTTATTACTCCCTTGTATACGGAACCAAAGCCTCCTGCTCCCAGCTTCTCTGAGAAATTCCTTGTAGCACGACCTAAATCGGCGTAGCTGAAGACAGCAACTCCAACACTAGCTTGACTGGTTGGCGCCGGTGATGACACACCACACCAGTACTTGAACCTCTTCTTCCTTGAGATCATCAGTATGACGATTAGCAGCACCCCAGAACCGATTACGCTTGCAGCAGTAATGGCACCAATAGGTAGTGGTTTTCTTGTCATACCTCGCGTCAAGCTTGAAAAATCTCCGGCGGCGAGGCGGATGTAGATTGAATCTTCAGAGCTGATCTCGATGCCATCATCCCGGTTCACACCGAACAACTTGCCGTGCCAGACAGAGCATTTGGTGTCCTGGTAGGAGTAAGCAGTGCAGGAGCAGTTGCTCAGGCAGGCTCGCTGGCATTCGCTCCTGGTCATAGTATCCAGGCTGCTTTGGGTTTGGGGGCCATAGGGCAACGTGACACTAGCTATGGGGTGGAACACGTCCGTGGAGCTGCTGCCGCCGGTGTTGGCACTGCAGTCCAAGGGAGTGTTTCTGGAGCACCCTCCTGTCCGATCACCGAGATCCCAGTCCTGGGGTGACGTCCGGGAGAAGCTCTCCATGCACTCGCAGGGCGGGTCTGAGCTCCCCGTGCAGACGGTGAAGGGTCCGCAGGTGGCGTAGGGACTGCAGGGGTCCACGGGCTGGACGTAGATGCTGTACCATGACTGGTTGGCGTGTGACCACACGTTCATCTTCACCTGGCCATTCGTGTCGATGGAGAAGAAGGTGGAGGAGGACTCGTCCGGCGAGGTGTACATGTAGTACTCCTCCTCGCTGTCGTCGACGTACTCCGGGACGACCAGCCCACTCGTCTGCGGGTTCATGTGTAGCAGCGCCCTGAGCGCCGGGATCTTCATCCCTCCTGCCGTGTCGGGCGACCACCACCAGTAGGTCTTGTAGGGGTAGATCCGGCGCCTGATGGTGACGTTATTCCTGGTGGTGGCGTTGGTCTCCAGCCCAACGTGGAAGGAGCCGAGGCCTGGGTCGATCTGGCTCTTCCATGAGATGCCCACACGGTTGAGGCCAGTGACCTTGTTCCAGCCGATCTTGGCGTGGGGGAGCAACGCGTTGGTTGGGTAGTCGAAGCTCTGCCACAGCCACACCATCGCCGTGGCATTATTGGAGGAGTTTTCTAATGATTCTATGACAAGGTTTCCATTGTTCTTGAGGATGGCTCTGCAGGTTGCCGTGTTGTTGGCTTTTGCTATGTGGGTGGACCAGATGACGACGGATTGTGTTTGTGTGGTGTTGGCGTTGTTTGAGACGATGACAAGCAGGTTGCCATCTACTGAGATCTGGAGCTGCGTTGCACTTAGATAGGGCCCCAGGATTGGCCGCTCCCGGTTGGCGACCCAGACGGGAGTGAAGAGAGGGATCTTGTTGAACCATATGCCAAGGTACCAGCCGGCCGGAGAGGTAGACGACGACGGCTTGCTCATGTTGCCGGCGCTGGGCTGGAAGAAGCCCAGCGCGAACTTGCCGTTGCTGGAGACGAGCTTGTTGCCCACGGTGAACGCCTGGCCTGGCATCAGAGTGTCGTCGTCGTCTCTTGCAGCTGCACCAGTACCAAGAGGAATAGCATGCAGATGCAGGGTGAGGATGAGGAGGCCGCGGAGGAACGTGTGGAAGGTAGGCATGGCTGCTCTGGATAACTATGTCTATGTGTGCTTGCGCTCCACCTCTGCGCCGCTGCTCTCTTTGTTATTTAGAGAAGGAAGCATAGAAGACGAGACCTGCAGGCAACTAGCGCTCCATGCGGGTCAAGTCAAGGCGTCCGTCAAGTTCCAAATCCAGCGCTGTTCACGAAAACGGGAAAGTTATACGTCGCTCGAGTATTTTGTGGGCTCCGCACAGTCGATTTGTCATCCGTCGGATCTGCCCTGTGAACGGCGGAGCAAGCGGTCGCAGGTTCGTAGGGGTCGTGGTCAGACCGCTGTGTGTGCGACTGTATGTGCATCTCATCCGGTACAGGTGCAGCCCTGTAGGCGGCTGGTGCACGGTGCAGGTGCATGCACCCCCGTCACATCAGCTAGCCCCTATACCCATGTATGTATGCAAGTTTATTCTTTTAGTAAAAGCATATTATACCTTATTGGAGTATATTTTATTATTTTTTTGTGTAAGTTCTGCGTTTAATCGATGTAAATTGACTATTTGTAAATGAGAATGATCGGAGTTACACGAACAATTATATGATTATTTTTTTTGGCTTTTTTATTTTCTGTATGTTTTATTTGGTTCCTCTTTGAATTTTTTCAATTTAGCTTTCATAGAAACAATCTGGTTAATTATTTTTGTTTTATTTGGTTTCCTTTCGAAATCTTCTAATTTGGCTTCTATAGAAATAATATAGATAATTTTTTTTAATTTTATATGTTCTATCTGTTTGCATTAATTTTGAGCATTTGATCCGAATCCTATAGCTATGAGAAGAAGGAAAAGACGAGACAACTAGCGCTGCATGCGGGTCAAGTCAAGGCGTCCGTCGAGTTCATCTAGATCCCACACTGTTCACGAAAAATACAACTGGACATGATGGCGAGCCCCACAGCTTTGAATTTCTCAGTAATGCAGCTTGTACCATAGGCGCTTACTTGGTCAACCATGCATTCTATTGAAGCCCTTCGCTACATTTTTTGCACATCCCACTAATGAAAAAAACATTTTAAGACACAGGACCCTAATTAGCAAAGGCTGGTATATTTATGAGCCACCTATGCAAATAGTTAAGTGGATCTCAGACAAATGGCCTGTCTCTATTAATCATCTATAGAGACGAAGAGACCGCCATTGTTAATCACCGCCATTGTTAATCAATTATTTATAAAGACGGACATCATCAAATGCCCTGTCTCTGCTAATCATTTACAGAGATGAACATCCTAAGAAGACCGTCTCTATTAATTGATTATAAGAGAGGCGGCCTTCTTAAAATGTCTGCCTCTGAAAATAGCTATTAATCGAGACGCATGTTTAAGGGGTCCGTCTCTAAGAATAGTTGTCCAGAAAAATTCATAAGTTTTTAAGATGAACTAAGGTGAAGATATACTTCATACAGAAATTGCACGGCTCTACGTGATCTACAACTTTGTGGTTGATAGGTTTTTTATTAGGAACATGCCAAGTTCCAAATTCATTTAAATTCTTAGATTTTGAAATTTAAGATTTAGAATTTTTGAACAACCTCAAATGTTGACATAGTCAATATAAAGTTGTAGTTCTAAATACGATCTACAACTTTGTACTTAATACTTTTTAAGTTTGAAGTCATAGAGACCTAAATATATTCATTTTATGTTCTAAGTTTCAAAATTTAAAATTTAGAATATTCAAATGATTCCGTATGTTGACGTGATTTATACCAAAGTTATAGTTGTCAATGCAATCTATAATATTTTAGTTGACAAGTCTTTTATTTAAAAACATTTTGAGTGCCAAAAGTTTGTTTCAAAATTCTCATATTTTGAGATCAAAATTTTGAAATTTTTAAACTATTTTGGATGGAGACACCCCTATACAAAAATTGTAGATCCTGATGACATCTAAAAGTTTGTAGTTGACACTTTATCATACCCGATTTTAAGGACAAAATCGAATATAGAATCCTATGTGTGCGCAGGAATCGGTTACACACATAAGATGACAAATTATATTATATTAAACTCAGAGTTTATTACATATCAAATGATAATCCATACAAAGGAACAATTATCTATCAAAGTAGCGAAAACTCAAATTCTTAACTTCAGGTGAAGCCTCCAAACTCCACAGGGACGGTTGATTGGTGAACCACACAACGCTACGGTGATATTTGGTAATGCAAATCACACAACTAAAAAATAATTTACCTAATGCCCGTGCTAATACTACGACGACATTTGATAATGCAAATCATACAACAAAAAATAGTTTACCTGCACAATAATTAGTTTTTAAAAAAATCCCAAAATTACTACAGGACACACACTTTTTTGCCAAAGAGAGCTTTATTATCACGGAATCAACAATAACATTACAAAACAAGGCTCTTGACACAAAGTTGCAGTCTCTGCCATGACATAATGACCAAACATACATGTTCATGCGTAACTTTATTTTACTCCACTCCAAACTTATCAATTCTTGAGCTTTGCAGCTACCGGCCTTCCTGCTGAGCTCATGGGCGATCAATGCCACCAAGGAGCGATCAGGTTGTACTTGCACGTGTCAACAAAAGAGAAAGAAAGAAAACTCACGAGCTGTTAGACTCGAGCTTGCTACAACTTATGTTTCTGCTTCTACCGAATCCCCTCCAAGCATGCTACAGCTTCTGCTTCCTCAACATCCCTACAATGTTACAACATTATTCAGTTATATATACAAGCATGTACATATGAAACTGCCAACAACACCCAAGGATGCACCGAACCAGATAAAAGGTAAAATATGTTTAGTGTACGCTAGAATTTGTTTGCAATCCATAATTGTAGAAAAGAAAATTCCAAGATGCCATTTAAAACACTAACAAGTCAACCAATCACACACTCCGGTGATCCAATAATTAATTGATATCATTATCAGAGAAAAATTAATTGATATACCATAAAAAATCAATCTACCAACAAGAGTCAAGTCCAGCAAAAATATGGTTAATTGATATGCATGAGGTAGTTCAGGAGGACTTCAAGCTCAAATTGGAAGAGCCCTCCTCAAATATTGTTCACATGTCTAATATTTATATGCATGAGATTTATGCTATGATGAACAGCAAGGAATCAGCTTTGACAAAAGCACATTGAAGCAATAAGAACAAGTGAGGAGAGACCATAGACCTTCAGAATCTCTGACGGTTGAAATCCACCTAACCACATAAAACACCTCTCGAAAGGGGTCTTCCACATTCTTGACAGCACGTGAAAAGCGTCTGCCTTGGCTGCTACACCCTTAGGCCTGAAGCTTCGTAGTAATGTGCCATGATGTCCGTGCTAACGCTACGGTAAAATAGAAAACAAGATAAAATTTTGTAATGAGCAAGAGTAAGTTTGAATGACCTTGATTACATACTATCGACGATCAGAAGTAGCCATTTTGGCCCTGACTAACATATGTTCACGTTAGGTAGAGCACAATACTATGTCATGCTTGTTGGAGAGCAACAACATGAGGACACATGATATTTTCATGGAATAAAAACAATTTTGTTTTTGCTGGCCACATAATTCACAAGTGCCACGATAACACTTGTTAGCTCTTGGTGATAGACCATTTTTTAACTATGCTTCCTGATCATACATATATTGCAAGTGAAAGACCTTGTAAAATTTTTACCTATTTGAAATGATACTTTCAATGCCTCAAATAAAGCCTTACAGTAGGGGCATGCCCCTCCTGTTTTCCTAAAAAAAACATAAAGCCATAGATAACAATGATACATTTCTTGGTTTCCATCACTTGATATGCCAAAGATGAGAGCTCATCAGGAATAATAGCAAACTCACTAACCTTGACAAAGAAAGAGACCACTTTGCTGCCAGCATGAACATTTATAGTCCTTGTTCACATGGAGAGCCCTGTACAAATAGATTTTGAAAGGCATCCAGAGTAAAATCCAAAATTCACCATTAACATGAAAATTATGCAGTACTGTCTGATGGCAAGGTCTGATTTTACCTGTTGTCCATATATGACACCAATATTCACCGAGACCACCAAGGCAACCTTGTCATTGATTAATAGATAACCCAACACATAAATTCAGTCTACAAGAACCCGAAGAATCAGCAAACTAAAACATTTCTATGCACATGGTTAAATTCGCAAATAAAATTGGCTGCAGTCTACATTATGTCTGAAAGCAACTAAATTCTCATTTATACAATTCATGTAATCGATTCTTGTGTGGCAACCATAAAAACCAGGAAAGAAAATATATGATATATTCTGTACAACTGTTTAAGGAATAAGGTGCATTCGTGGAAATAATTTCCCAAACTCTCAGAAACATTTTATCAAACACATGGAGTGCGGATTAAAATTGATCCATTTCAAAATCATTTTTATGAACTTGTATCCACGTGATGGATCATTAACCAATCTAGAAAAACAAGAAGAGGAGGGGAGGGAAGACGTGACCTTGTATATGTTCAACAGGTGAATTGGTGTTGTGTCCCTGTTAGCTTTGATGGATCTTGACATACCTATTCAAACACACGGTGCCATGCTCGAGTGGATCTTCACCACCACAAGGCAACCATGCAAAAATTGTGGCTTAATTAAAAGCCTTCAATCATCCATATGCAAATTGAGGGAAGGATCAATACCTCATGGACACTCATGGCTGAAGGGGAGATGCAGGCAACAGACAAGACGACACCGACGGGAAGCCAGGCAGGGTCAGGATGCACACGCCGTCGAGAAGGACTCATGGCGCCAGTGGAGTGCGGTGGGGTGGCGTCGCGACCAGACAAAGCAATGTCGGCAAAGCGCGCTGCATCGGGCGACGCGACGCGGCGGCGGCGGCAGCCCTCTGTCTTCTGCCGCTGCGGGTCAAGACGACGACGCCTCCTCGAAGGCCGGTGGCTGCCCCGTGCCTAGGCATGCGCGTCGCGGAGGTACATCTGACGCGTGGAGCCGCCGTGCCCTTCGCCCAGACCCTAGG